CGAACTGTATATATATATATATATATATATATATATATATATATATATATATATTTCCCACTGTAAATAATAAACACCATTCACTTTTTCTAAGCCTGAGTCTTGTGTTGTTCTGGATCTTGTATTATCTGGATATCCTGAATCATAACAGTTGGCTTTAAGTGACTAACCACCTCCTGCAGCGATGACAGAGTCACTAGTTCAAAGCTGTCAAATACAGCAGAGCAGCGCACAAAGAATGAGGAGTCATGAGCAGTGAGATCTGGGCCCTGGTGGAATTGACTTTCTCAACAAAGAAATTGAGAAAGTTTTCACATGCAGCAGGTAAGGATTCAATACATTTTGTTTGTGGTGCATTAATAACACAACCAATCACTTTAAATAAAACATGAGGATTGTGACTGTTTGATACAATCTCATTAGACAGGTGTTTTCTTTTGGCATCTTTCCCAGTTTTTTGATAGTGACGCCAGCAGGCCTTTTAATATTTGATATGACACCTGTAATTTGTTCACTTTCCACCTGCGCTCTGCTCTATGACACTCTCTCCTGGCCGCCCTGGTGTCGTCATCCAACAAGGGTTCGCACTTGATTTTAGGAGATCTGATTTTTAAAGGAGACAGAGAATCTAGAATCGTTCTGCAGGTGCAGTGAAACCATGAGCTGAGAGCATCAATGTTGGTCTCTGGGATGGCACAGTTTTGATTAAAAGCAGATGAAAAGTGACCAGCTGCATAAGAGTTCAAAACACGACAGAGTCGAGCTGCAGCGCAGGGTTTAACTTTAGTGTAGGACAAGTTAGTTTAAAACAAAACAGGCATGTGGTCAGAAAATACAGATCACTACTCACTACATTAAAAACAAGTAAATCACAAGATAAAACCAGGTGCAGAGTGTGTCCGTGTTCATGTGTAGGACCAGTCACAGACTGCACAAGATTAAAGGAGGCAGTGATGTTTAAAAGGACTGAGCCAAGTGTAAATCAAGACAACACACATGGATATTAAAATCACCAACAATGAGAACTGGGTCGTATTTTGGCATAATTTCAGCCAAAAAGTCTGAGAAGTAATTTATAAAATCCTTATTGTACTTGGGAGGCCAATAAACAGCACAATGTGGGAGGTGCTGAGTTCAAATAGGCTGTGCTCAAAGCTGCTGAATGAAGATGGAGGCAGCTGTTTACAGTC